AATGAAAAAATCAGTTATTTTCATGAGAACGATTTGTTATTCCATCTCAATTTTTTTAATCTCCAATCGCAATAACGTAAAGTATTATTACCCGCGAACCAATGAGTCAAATTTACGAAACAACCCACTGTTAGAAAGCTGAATGGCTATGCTTTAAAATGAATGTAAACTTTAACGTTTTCGTCTATTATTTGTTTAGCAATTTACATTTCAGTCGAGGATTGCGCTTTTTTTGATACACCCTGTAGATGTGTAGAGGTTCTGAAAGCGACATTAACGGTCGAAGTAGAATACAATAACAAAATTTCGACAGCAGTACAGTTAATTTGAAATAAAATTAAGTCTACATACCGTGTATTCACAAACGTGCAGACTAAATAACTTCCGCATGTAAATAGATTCAAATAAATACGCAACTTTTCAAGTTTGCCTTTCAAAATCAGCTCATTATCAAGTGTTCTGCAGATAATTCTTTACCATACAATTTAATACGAACGTTCGCTCAACCTTGCAAGCCAGGCTCTCTACTTCCGCTTCCCTCCCTAACACGCTCCAGCAGAGACGTGTTAGGGAGGGAAGCGGAAGTAGAGAGCCTGGCTTGCAAGGTTGACGTTCGCTGAGTTGCTGAATACTTTTGTGATAAAATAAAATGTAAAAATAAAAATCTGTTCAAGAAATAAAACTTTAGTTGTCAATTCTGGGAACTACGAATAACAGTACGTATTGTGGCATTTGTAACTTCCGTTTCATACAAGTTGATTAAATATATACCATCGCCCAAAAAGTGACTGCAAAATCTGCTCCGAAACGAGATAAACATGCAAAGTATAGCTACTCCCATTGATTGGGAGTGGTTTAACGCAAGCGAACTATAATTTAAGAAATAGCTATACTGATTTAGTTCTCCCAAAACCCAGAGGAAATTCCTAAAAAAGTTTTAAATACAGCAGGGCAAAGCTTTGGAATAGCCTTTCTCGGGAAGCAAAAGAAGCACGATCAATTCCTATTTTCAAATAAAATATTAATCTTTGATTCTGTTACTAATGCTAATGTATGGGTCACACCTTCTGTATTCAGCATGCACTGTTGTAAATAGTTTTTCTTTGTTTCTACGTATTTTCTTGTAAATACTTTGTATATAAATTGACGACGCCCTCACGAAAACCAACGTATGTTGATGAGGCTAGCGTCTTGAAATAAATTTGTACGATACGACGATACGAAATTAATACACGAGCAAAGTCGGGTGTAACGGGCGCGGGCAGAAGAACGATGAAGCAACGGTCACGAACGATAGCTCATCATCGCGATGAGACCAGTATACCGACAGGGGCGAAACGATGCCCAACCGACGGAAAACGAGACGATTCAAACGAAACGCAGAATGGACGGGCGGCTAACGGACGAAGTCAAAACATACTAGGAGGAACGACGTCTCGCGACTGCTGAAGCAGCACCACCACGTACAACACACAAGGGATTAGGGATGGAGGATAACACCCAACCAACTAACCGAAGGCTAGGTGGGAGGGAATTAAGCGTTCCCAGTGACCAAGGAGGGGAATCAGAGAGCTAGGCTTTATAAGGTAGGGATGCCAACCTCATTGGCACACCCCAAGCTAGGGTTCAGACCCCCTAAACCGACCACTCCGCTAATTCTAAATATTATTTATTTCATAAATCCATGAAGCAGCAGCAGCCATTGTCAAAACAAAATAATTTTACAAAATTTCCCACTCTTTTGCAATTCATGCAAAATACCGCTGCAAAACACGCGGGCACCTACAGATACGATATTTATTTGTCATGTTCACATGCTGCACCGAGATACGCAAAATTATCTGTAGGCTTTCAACCAATAAGAATACGAGAAAATAGTTTTGTTAAATATTGAAATCTGTGGCGTAGAATAACTAGAATTAAAGCTCGGTAAACTCAATTAAGCCGGCCAATATAAACCAGAACTTGGGGGATCCCAAGCGTAAGAATAGAATTAGGTGGGACAATTCTAGGGGTGTGGGGGCCTGAATATAAACAAGAAGTGCTGTCAAGTAAACTCTATTAAGAGCAATGTAAGTTACTCATTGAAGCGGTTTTGCTTCATGAGCAACTCGGCTTAGCACTTTTTGCTAATCTCTCTTGGCGATCTCCTCAAAATTTAGGCTATGATTTTTATACTATTTTTGATAATGCATTTGTTATAAATGTTATACCCAATATTGATCTGCTACCGCGTAAACTAAACGTTAATTAAACAAGATTGATAGATCGTCATGGTCCGCCAACGAAAACATTCTCAATCACAACCCATCTGGACATAAAATCTTGAATCACCACCCCTCGGGACATTAGAAACAATTGCGAAAGCCTGGGGAAGGGTGGGCACAGCGGGAATACGCCCTTCTGGAAAGTACTTTGTCTAATAGTATAGAGCTTCGTTTTTGTATATAGATGACAATAGTTAAACCCAATATCTCAATCACAAGAACGAGGCTGTATTGCCAGTCGTACATTCCAGCCGTATTCCAGTCGTACATTCGTGTATTGACCTAACGATATATTTTTAATATCTTGGTCAGCAATTTTTTTTTATTATGTGGGGTTAATTAGCGTTGGCAATAGTGATTTAATTCATGATCTCATTAAACTGTGTTGATTCACTTGCAGTGTGTTTGAACTGCTGTGCGCAATTAGAAGATCCAAATAATATGTATTACTTAATTGTTATACTGAAAAAAATTGCTGCTCAAGGTTTACTCTACAATAATTAGTTGTTTGTTAAAAATATTTAGGCGGTGCTCGAAACAATGAACACAGTACTGATTTAAATTTATTATTGCCCTTCAATCACAAGGTTGGTCTGAAAAATTTAAATGTGTGTGGTTTATTGAAGCACACAATTTTCTGCCCATGTAGCATCCAGTATACCCTTTTAGTGGCGATACACAAAATACGCATCCAAACTTTATTATTTTACTTTTACTTTTACTTGTCAATGGAAGAGAGCAGCCACTTGAATTGGGTAAATTAAGGCAATATTAGTATTAAAGGTCAATTTCAAATTAACAACTTGAATAACATAATGATATTCTGCTTCCCGGAAGATACATTGTATTGTAAATCTGTATTGTATATACAGTATTGTAAATCTGTACACCCCCTATCGGAGCATTTCAGCAACCAATTACATCAAGTTAATGTTTACGCTTACTTAAATTACCAACTTAGCCTAGGTTATCTAATTTATGTATACTATATAAATTTACTGTGACATTACTTTCCTAACTATGTTTATCCTAAATATCAAGATTTTGTTGGAATCTCACTCAATTGAATGATGCTTTGAAGGTCTTGTCGATGGAAATTGTCGAGTGGAAATTTATATACTGTACATTTATTAGACCTAACCAGGAACAGCTGTGACAATACAACTATAGGTCCCTAGCAGGTTCGATTCCTATTTCATCCTAACCCACCCTGTCAACTAGCTTTCTCTGTGGGAGGAAACAGAAGCGCCTAGAGAAAACCCACAACTTTGGCAAAGTGTTGATAGTCTCTTTTCAAATGACACATGTGTCCGTAGCGAGAATTGAACCCCCAATCTTATAAAGGTGAAAGGCGCTTCTGCTGATCAAACTGCACCACCAAAGCTCCAGCTCAGGGATTATGCCTTTTTCTATTTTCCCCTTTTTTCTTTTTCCAATAAGTGTTCCAGATCCCCACCCTAAAATACTTTGTTTGAGTTTTTTCAAATTTTTCACAGAGATTCTGGGTTATAAGTACAGAGTTATGACATTGCCTAGAATTGAGATTATAATATCGATTATACTTGGTGACTTGCCGTATTATGTACAAGTCAAATCCAACCACATGCAATAATGCACTACTCCCTGAACAAACTCCAGGCAACGTCACTGTTAAAAAATAAATAGTGAAATGCCCGGCAGAAACCACAGTCAAATGTCCTGCCATAGGGGCAGATCACTATATAACTTGACTGACGGATTCCAAACCCCAGATGATATTTAGCAATTCCAAACTTAGAATAATGGCATATTGTTGTACAGAAATAATCAGAAAAACAACAATGCAGCAATTAAACTGCTAGAGCACCCCAGAACATGCACATGTATTTGCAGAGACGTGAACCCTAAGTACCTAGATTGCGGGTGATGCCGATACACTGAAATGCTGTAACAACCATAGCCAATAACAACAAGCTTTAGTAGCCAAAAAGAGAACAACAATTCTGTTCATGTTTAAAATACTTTACATACATTTCTTAAAGTCGCAATCGTTATGAAATATGTATTTTTCTATGCCATATAAAACCACATTCCATAGAACCATAGACTATGTTTCTATGGAATAGAGATCATATTCTGTGCTTTGAGATCATATGTTTTAAGCGCAAGGCTAGTTCAGCATAGCCTCCACTCCTGCAAAACCTCATACGGAGAATTATCATGATCTGATGATGCGTGTGAATTTCAATGATGCGGGTGAATTGAAGTGCCATTTTTTACGTGGGCGATGATTCCAAAAAGGCGGGTTTCACCAGCTCAATGCGGGTGAGTAACGTGAGTTCACATATTTGATGTACTCCAAGCAGGTGGAATGGCATCCTGTTAAATTCTCGCCTATACATAGTTTATCTTAGGTCAATGCTGTCACTAGATGTCCTACTTTAATTAAGCTGTAGCAAAATGCCATAATAAAAGATAACCAAAGGCAAAGGTGACTCATCCAACACAGTGGGACTTATGTAGCATAAGATTTCAACTCCAGGATTGTTTAGTTGTGACTAATTGCAACAATTATATTTGCTGTTTATATTAGCTGTTCGCATTGTAATAGGCTGCAGATTAATAAATGGGGATTATATAGCCATTATCAAACCCGAGTAACAATCAGTTTAATTTTTTAAGCCCAAAATCTATGTGATGCCATATTTTAATTATGATTGTGTGAAAGGGAATTCCCCTTTTTAAAATTGTAAATATATCTTTTCATTTTTTTGCCACAAAAATTAATATTTTCTAGTTTGGTCACAAAATTTACATTTCAAGATTTTAAAATGATTATATCATCGTCACGAATTCGCGATGCACGACAATCTCATGATCGTTACAATGGAAATTAAAGCAATATTTTACCTTTGTCGTGCTCGTCTGCTCGATGTGTTCCAGTTCCACCAGACTGACCAGACTATAAACTATATTTGAGGTCGATAGCAACGAGGATAGCAATACCAAAGTCAAAACAACTTTACAAAGTGTCCAAGAAATATATTTCGCGATGGTCGAATGTTTAAAAGCGATAAAATATCGTTTATAGCTTTCTCCGTCCAAAACGGAGATGTATTGCTAAGCAAATTTGTGGTATGGCGCGGGCGTTCTCGTCCGCGATCATATCAGACCATGTCAGCGGCATCTAGTAATTGTAGTAAATTACTTAAATAATCGCCCGAAGTTCGAAGTTTTTATACTCAAAATTCCAAAGGAATTTTACAACTTTAGAAAGTGCAAATATTTCCAGATACATGGGCCATCATTCCCATACCGTATTTTAAGAACAAATATGACTGGTTTATAATATAGTTTATTTTGTCTAAAAATACATTACCATGTACATGCAAATTAATACATCCTCTGAGAAAATTCACAAACTAACCTCTCTGAAATTTGAGATCCTTGACGTGGCTAGAAAAACAATAATCGTTTCATTTATATATGTGACCACTATATATTTAGAGTTTCTGCATTTGCATTTCAGTGAGCGGCGCTGAGGGTCGGTGGCGTGTTTGTCTAGGGCGTTGCGTGCGATCTGACCAACCTGCTGCTAGTTGGTGGTTCGATCCCGCAATTTTAATGTTTTGTTTCTCGTTCTCATATTTTTTTTTCACAGATTTTTCCTAAGATTGCCTTTATACAACACCTTTCGGTTAGATTAGGGTTAGAGTTAGGGTCACGTTTATTTTTAAAGTGTATTATATTCAATTAAAATAATATCTTTAATTAATAATTCGCGCGCGAATTCGAATTGTTTTAATTAATACTAAATGCCAAGCCGCTGACATGATTTGATGGACGGGGGCCACAGAACGCCCAGGATAAATTGACTACCCAAATTTGTTTACAAAGAAGCCCTCTTAGAGATTGGAGAAACATGATTCAAACCAGTGTGACCAGATTTTTCCTGGGTTTTTCCAGCTTATTACCAAACTTTGTGTTGAAAATTTATTAAATCGAAAAAATTTACGATATTTAGAAATTCGCTTCCAATCCCAGTTTGATTGACAAATATATATTCAGAAGTTTCAAAAATCGACATGGCAACCACTAAGTTGACTAGGTTAGCCTGAAAGCCATGCACTGCTTACATCTATTCCATGTTTGAAACTAGCGGGTGTTGCAGGCTAGAGAGTGGAAGCACGGGGGGGGGCACCTCCTTATTGACCACGGAGACAGGTAATTTTACCGTACAATTACTGAACTATTAGAATTTTGAAAAATGTTATCAAAATTGTACTTAAAAAATTTAATTACTAAAATTTTTCCAAAACTTAACGTAATTTTACACAAAGTAAAATACTTTACCAAATCTGGTCACACGTGACTGAATTAATTGAATTAATCGAACTGAGCGTGTAGGACGAGGTGCCATTAGGGCTTTCCACAAGTTGCTCGGCAACTTTTTGGCAACTTTTCGTTTTATGAGCAACTTTTGTTTTAAACGGCAACTTTTGTAAATTCGAGCAACTTTTAATGAATTTGACACCTTTGTAACTTTGGTTAGCGATTTTGAGTTTACTTTCATTTTGTGTAGAAATATGGTAGGCCATATTAAGATAATGATAAACAATTTTAGCCCTTCAAGTCCAGCTTCTGGGGAATTAGCCTAATACCGGTTTTATTGCACTTTTGGTTTCTCAAAATTGAAAATGACCGACAGCTCAAGCATAGAAGCTCAAGGGAAAAAGCTCAGTGACGTTTTAAATTGTGTGAAGAACATCCTAATAACACTATTTAGTATTTTTGCACAAGTGAATATAACAAATCCTACAAGTTGATTGGTCAAATTTGACCTATTATGCTGTTAAATATTCACCTACAGGTGAATATGACAAAATCGAAATTTGCAAAATGGCGCGCGGCTAGCCGTTTTGTGGAAGTTACTGATAAAGAAATAAGTGAAATTAAAATAAATTCAGTCCCAAAAAACACAAAAGATCGACTTATGTAAAAATAATAAAACTATTGTTCGCCTCAGGCTTGGTGATTATCGGGGAATATTCACCTCGACTTCGTCTCGGAGAATATTCCCCGATAATCAGCTCGCTTTCGGCGAATAATTGTTAGATATTCAGTACGCAAAAGTTGGTATTTGACATTATCATAATTGTTTTAACATTACGCCGGATTTTATATTGGATTACATAAGACTATAATCTATATATGAAGTAATACAGTATATTAAAAAATTGTTTGATGCTTCATGTTTATTAAAAAATTTTTCATGCTCAAAATTTTTTCATGCATGCTCAAAAGTTAAAATAGCAGTGCTTGGCAGTGCAATTAAAGTAGCAACTTTTGAGCAACTTTTTGGGGAAAATGGGCAAGTTTTTGGCAACTTTTCTTACTTTTCTGAGCAACTTTAATCAAAATTCCGAGCGACTTGTGGAAACCCCTAGGTGCCTTCCATAATCTTATGCCAACTAATGGACTTCATTTGAGGCTTAACTTAGAATACATAAAAGAGGCATTGATTTTTATAGTCTTTTTTACATGTGGTTTTTCTGTTGTACTCGTTGTGCGCAAACGCTATTCACCCACTGCTATAGACAGATTCGAGCATAGGAGTCGGAAGATCGATAAGTGGGGGGGGGGGGCATATTCATATATTCGTGTTCACAGACCTTAAAACAATCGATTTCAAAAGAAATTAGTAATGCAGAACACGAATATATGAATATGGTCCCCCCCCCCACTTATCGATCTTTCGACGCCTATGGATACGACATACCGGAATGAGGGGCCGTCTCAAAATTTCATCATTTTTCCTAGTACCCGCAAAAAGGGGGAAGGGGTAAAGAAGAAACGCAAAAAAAGTCATTTATTGGCGGTGTCGATATTTGCGTTAGCATTGTCCCGCAAGACACTCCAGAAATACCGTATTATGGAATCACAAATATGGAACGAAATATTCCACGCAATTAAATATTTTTATCAATAGACCTTTATAACGCTTTTTGAGTCGATCTAAAATTTGATATATTTAATATAGCACTCTATAAATATCAGAAATTGAAAGAGCAACTAAGTTGGTAAGTACAAAATATTTGGAGACTTCATTTTGAAGACTGTGACCATCCAGGCGCGATCAGTTTCAAAAACAATTATATGAAGTTCGAAATTTGACTATAGAAAATATGTGAGGACCTGCACGAGAACGAGGCCTGAAGGAAATGCATGCCCGTTGAATGCATAATTCCCAAATAAAAATTATCCCATACGCAATGCCATGATATGTTGCGCTTTTCATTTTTGGTATTTATGGAGTGCTAATATGAAAATAATTTTAAATTGACTCAGAAACTGAGCATTATCAATTTCAATCTCGTTCCCAGCCGCTGGGAACAAGGTTGAATCAATGTCTTCCATTACTTATTCGATCATTACTTAAGATCTTTTTAATTTCCAGTAAAATTTCCAATGTAAATGTAATACCATGTCAGAAGCGTTTTCCCGGCACATTTCGTAGAATGCCCAATAACTCAATTCAGAGTTCAGATTGCGCATTCAAATGACGCGTCACGAATCATAACATGTCAGCTGAGACTGCAAACATTAAATATATGCATGTCAAAGTATCCAACCTTTTCACTCATTATTTGTGTTTTACTTATAACTACAACAGAACTGGCACTAAATAACTTTCGTACAAGCGTATTATATTTTTTTCTGTGTAAAACAAAATAGAGAAAGGTACACTTAAAAGATTATAATTTCTAATTTAATAGTTAATCAACCGCGTGGAAACGAATTGTTTCTTGCGCAACTTTTGCATATTCAACAGTTGAATACTCTCATATGCATATTCTAATTCTTCCAGTCTCAGGTACATGTTATAGTTCAACTGGGATCCATGCCGACACAGAACGCGTCATTTGAAGATGCAGCCAAGACTCCGAATTGGCTTATTTGTAAAGCGGCTCCCATTTTCCCCAAGAAAGTGTGGATTAACCTTTTCACTTTGGTGAATGACTGGCCCATTCGCTACACCCTTGCCGTATCTTCGGTAAATAGGTTTATAGGAATGACGAAACGAGCTGCTTCGCAAGAATTGGCTTTATTTCATGGTTGGAATATGCCGACTGCAGATTTTGTGCTCATTATCTTCACTATGTGTCTTGCTCATTGTCAACAAAACCACAAGTCGCACGGTCAGCCAAACCATCAAGGATTGTTTAGGCCTTTAAATTAGGGGATTGTTTAGGCCTTTAAATTAAGAGGAAAGAACCCATATTTTCCGACTAATATTCTTCCTATAATCAACGCTATTGATTACAGCAGTCGATAAAAAGTACATTGGTGCACTTTGGATCCTATCGTTCTTTAATAATTTGAGGTTAAAGCAAATTTCTAAAATGTCCCCCCCCCCCTCCTCCGCTTGATTGATTTTTGATTGATTGACTGAACTATATTTAAGTGCGGAAGCATGTCATCAGAAGATGGTTTTCCCATGCAGGGGCCGTGTGCGTTTAAACTATTAATTTATCTTTTGTATCCTGAACTCTCGACCTGACCCGTTCTAGTCAACGGCTCATGGGAGAAAAATGTTTGGTCGCCAAATGTCGATTGCGCAACATTTTGCACCGGATGGAAATCTGCCTTATAGTCCCATTTGAAGTTTTCGTTTCAGAAATAGTTCATTTAATTTTCAAGAGAGTTTGAGATCACATACATTAAATTTCGCGCAAAAGTTCAACGTTTCAAAAGGCCTGTATAACTGATCAAACTTGGTGGCAGTGAAACTTTATTTGCATAAAGATTACATAACTATATCAAGTGAAAAATTACGGACAAAGTATAATATACGAAGACTCAAGGCAATGCCCACGTTATTACTGAATAAACATTTCGACACATGCAGGGACGTCGCGATGTCACCGATATGGGGGGGAAATTGGGAGGGGGGGGGTCCTGATATTTTGACCAATTTCTGCATTTTGTCCAACATTTCAAGGTCTTATCTTTGGGGCTTATTTTCAGCGAAGATGGGTACGGGTGTTTTCAGCTAAATGGAAACACGCAAAAAATGATCCAACTGTTACAGTACAGTAATAGCGTAATAAGATATTTACGGCTAGGAGTGCTGAAACGAGTTCGGAGGCATGCTACCCGGAAAAATGAAACACTTTCTAGCCGCGAATTGAAGAATTTGGACAACAAATAATGTGCAAAAATTTGCTTCATATATATATGGTTTTGGTCAGTTTGTAAGAGTTGGTGGGGGCTAAAATCGCAAGCAAATTAGCATAATTTAACAACTTGGGGATGGAAAAATCTTATGCTTTTCAACCAACACACCTATAACTTAATCTACTTTTAGGGCGACTTAGCTCAACCTCTCTGAAAAACTTTGGCGGGTACCGAGGGTCCCCTAATTTAAAATTTTACTTAAGGGGTATTTCATTGACCACATGTTGTTGATAATGATAATTTGGTTCACGTACTTTTCCTTTTCGGCGGCGATCAAAAATCTACGTATTACTGTCTTACTTTGATTTTGTTTAGGGGGTGGGGGGGGGGTAGGTGGCTTACCCTCCCGTTCTTGCTTTCCGACCGTGTTACGTTCCACCGTTTCGCGCGAGTCGAAATACTTCTTTTTCTGCGCTTGTGAGTACTACTATAGTTAGTTGACAAATTAAACCAATTTGAAAAACAAACATAACCAACTATTTTCACCAAATATTTTCTATTTGACCAACTTTTTGAACTTCAAAATTATCGGGGGTGTTACACCCCCTACACCTCGCTCTCCCCTGTAGCGACGTCCCTCTTTCTATAACTGGTTATATTATCACTTTAAAGTATTACGAGGCTTTATTTATAGGTAGTGAATTGTTACAACAGTCTTAAATAAGCATCAGTTCTTAATATAATGTTCGTCTTCTCGTAGTAGTTTCCTAAATTTCACTTTATTTCACTCTATATAGTCCACTGTCCATTGACGAATTTGGGTTGTGCACGCACTTTTATACTAACGGCTGAGGGATCTTTCTACACATGATGTAGCAATTGGTGTGATTTGGCGTTGTTAGCTCGTTCCAGCTCTCACATTCTGTTTATTTAAGGCGTTGTCGCACTTCTCGATTCGGTTCGCTGTTCAATCGATCAATATTAAAATATGTTCACAACTTAAAATACTTATCAAAATATCATAGTAAAAACTTTAAACCTATACCTATGTAAACCTTACTTTACCTACTAACCTAAATTTACTTACAATTTTATTGAACCAAGATTTTGATGACGTAATGTTATAATTACTCAACCGCGCGAAATATACCGAAGAATGATTGACAGAAAGGCCCTAAGCATGCACATTTTCATGTCAGAGAAGAACCAGCCTTGGACTTTGAATTATGTAAACACAACAGCCCACCATGCAAGGTTATCGTCCATCTTTGACAAATTGACGAGTTATCTATCTTGCCTAATGAACAGATAATTGACACTTTTACACAAGTCCGAAATGATATATACTTTATCTGAGTTTTACAGCAAAAATGCTCATTATCTCTGCATTTGACGTAACTAGTATCTATAATTACCTGCGGTGCAAACTGAACTATTTTTATACTATTTAGATATACTTTCGTAACAAAAGTACAAAATGTTTTATAATAAACGAGCGTTCTAAACCTTGTCAGGTCCTACTTTCATTTCAGTGGCTTTATAAGAATAATATCCTCCTTTAAAATCTTTCCAGCATATACCTTCCCATTTTTTATCGTGACTGCCTGGTAGATATGCACCATTCAGGTGTGCATAACTACATTCACGAAACCACCATGCACCATGCCGCTCCTGTGCACAGTGTGCGCCTTTTTTGAGATCATTGTCGACGTCTTGAGTGGTGAATTTCATGCCATTGTTATAGGATAAAGAATCTCCAGCCGTTCCTGTAAAGTAAACATGCAACGTAAGTTCAAACACATTAATCATTTGTGACCAATTAAGTCACTGAATATAATATGACACTTGTATGAACGTCCTTGCAGGCAAGAGCGGCATCCCTTTTCAGAAAGTAATTAGCGGACAGAGCAGGCCAAAAGACCTGGAGACATGTACCCCCGTGGTATTTTCACAAGTTTTAAGTGCAAAATTCACACCAGTCTTAATTGTTCAATGAAGTTTTGTTCTTAATTGTTCAATTGAAACGGAGCTACACTGCAGGGGCGGATTCATACAGGTTTGGCAGGTTTATATAAACCTGTCAGATTTTCCAAAGAAAGAAAATCTATAACCTTCCATGCACATATATAATAATAATAATAATAACACTTTATTTAACGAGGATTTACAGATAAAGCTACAGTACAGTTTGTTTCCAATCTGGTCCTCTTAAGTTCTAGAAATATATTACATCACTTGATTACAATACTCATGCAGTTAACATTCTTTTGAAACGTAGGATATACAGTCACGGATGCGTCACAAACACACAACATACACAGATACATCACAATCACACTACATTAACAATCTATTACTATCAACAGTATTAAAGTTTTTATATTAATATAATCTTTTTGTGTTAACTAAAAAAAACTAATTAATAATTACTTATATAACTAATATTAACTTATATTTACTTATTATTGATTACTTATATAACTAATTTAAAGAATATTCTGTTTCATAAACTTGATGTTGTCTATAAATCTATAACGCCATTTAAATACTCATATTGAAATTGGGTGTAATTAAATACGTTCGGTAATCCAGAATCAACTTACATAATAAGCATTTCAAACACTCATTAATAATTCATAAGCTTATTGGCAAATCATGTCAACCATAATATGTCACGTGCAGTGGCTTAATTTAAACCTGATAAAACACTCCTAATTAGTATTCTTTATATAGAGAATACTAATCAGGCACTATCTATTGTTGTCGTGTCCTCATTAGTATTTTTTTATATAAAGAATACTAATAAGGCGGTATATCTATTGAATTTGTAGTCGTGTTTGAAGCCTGCGCGCTCGTGTCTTTAAACCTAATAAAACACTCCTGCTCGTTTATTAAACAGTACTTAATTAATTAAGGACTTATCGCGTTGGTTTCCCCTTACGAAATGTTGTAATACTAGACAAATAATCTGCTAATGTATCGTCGTGGGTCGTGGACTGAACACCGCATGCATCACGCATAAACGCCCGCAATTATGAATAAACCGGTGGTCAGAGTTTTCTGAATGAGAGTAAACCGGTCGATACGCCATTCGATTGGCTAAACGGCTGCGCTCCCCCGGATGTAAACCGGTCATAAACCTGTGAGTCGAGCAGTATTTAGAGAAAACTGGGAATGAAAGTTAACAGAACTCGAGGACGCGCGAAATATGTTTATAATTTTCCGTGACTGAAAATTGCGTTGGCGATAGAAGGATTTACATGGATTTCTTGTTCATTTTGAAGGTTTGTTTAAAAGTATACAGTCTAAAGTTATAACTGTAAGCTATTTAAACTTACTGTGTAAAAAATATCGATCCGTCAACAAGCGTATCGATGTTTATACGTGTAACTTCTACATAGTCTACACTCATGATAGCGCGAAATATGTGTATTATGATTGCGTGACCGAATCATTGCGTTCGCGATAGAGAATCAGGAAATAATTGTAAAGTTTTAACGCTCTTGCAGTTTGGTTACTATTTCATTGTTATAGCGGTTGGTTTGAAAGCGTATAGATCTAAAATTACAACTGTGTTTATATTAATTAAAAGCATCTCTACTTGTTGTATTATAATAAATATTGATGCGTCAGCAATTTGCCAATCCTATATATTTTTATCACCAGCTAATAAGTTTCCGAAAAGGTTCAATTCATTGTTTGAGCTGCGTATATTAGTCCAAAATTCTCATAAAAAACATGTATTTTCTAACCATTAAATTCATTTAAAAGGTGACGCCAGAACGCAGGAAATGCTGTTTCAGAGGCCCGAATCCTCCTAATGGTTGTGTGGACCGGGTACCTACTAAACCTGTCATCCAAAACGCTGGATCCGCCCCGAAGTTGCTGTGGGGTAGGCTACTTTCAGAGATTGTTATACTTATTGAGAAGATCGATATTTTCAAATATTTAAGATGATTACATTTGCAAAATTATAATTTCAATCTTACCACAATTGACGGTGAGTAACTGTTAATCTTGTATCATCCATTGTAAAGGAAGAAAATATGATAAAATGGAAGGATAATTATATATTTATTCTCCAATCCAAATCCAAATAGTGGAGGCCGGATGCTTTGTCCCCCCCCCCCATTCTTCCAAGACGCCCGTGCTTCACTATTTAATGTCATTTCTGTTATCTACTCTTGTTCTCAAGTTTTTAGTGTTAATTAACCAACTAGTCTAGGACCTGTATATGAGTTTGTATGCGATTCATTTAGGACAGGTAATCTCAACTGTTTTAGGGTAAAATGACCATGGCGGTCAACATGGCATATGTGCGAAAACCTGAATCCGGGACGAAAGTCCTGAAAATGACCCCGCCCTGAAACGGCAGTGTCGACATAGCTCTAACTTCCGAAAAGGAAAAGCGATAGCCTTTCTCAAGTGCTTATAGTGTTTAGAAGGGTTGCTTTTAGGGGTGGTCATTGGAAGGAAAAATTTGTCGAAGTATAATATTTTACCACAAAATGACTATGCACCACCCCAGGTAAATTGCTGATTATGCACAAAATAACTAATATGCCTGGCAGAAATTAAATATTCTTATTTCCTAAAAAAAATTATTATGGGGTGAAAAACTACGCTTAATTTAATATAAATATTGTTGATTTCATAAGGATTGTCATTGTTTTCTTTAAATATAATACATTTTATTTCACTTACCCCCCACGAAAACACGATTTCAGCCATATTTTGCCGTCTTGTTTGCTTCTTATCGCCGAATCTCGCAAATATCATCCAGTTATTGTACTTTTACATAATTATAAATCGCTGAAGAAGATTTCAAAGAAGGTTTCATCCACTTTTGTAACAGTTCAGTGTATTTTATCTTCGATATTGTGTCCTTCGATATTTCGTCAAATTGCCGCCATTTTAATGGCTCGCCGCTTCTCTGCCCGATAAATGCCACTTCTTCGTTTTCATATGTATTTAGATTACATTATCCAAGAATACTTCCTTGTAGAATAGTACCAATCCAAAAATTGAAAATATTATTGGTATTTGGGAGGAAAAAACTTCCCATAATAGTTGTCCTGTTTGAATTCAAAAGAAATAATTTAAAAGTCACGCGCAAGTTCGCGAAAACACCTCATGGTATAATTCACTCCCCCCTGTTATGTAACCTTCGAGGTGTTTTCGCGAACTTGCGCGTGACTTTTAAATTATTTCTTTTGAATTCAAACAGGACAACTATTATGGGAGTTTTTTCCTCCCAAGTACCAATAATATTTTCAATTTTTGGATTGGTACTATTCTACAAGGAAGTACTCTTGGATAATGTAATCTAAATACATATGAAAACGAAGAAGTGGCATTTATCGGGCAGAGAAGCGGCGAGCCATTAAAATGGCGGCAATTTAACGAAATATCGAAGGACACAATATCGAAGATAAAATACACTGCACTGTTTCTAAAGTGGATGAAACCTTCTTTGAAATCTTCTTCAGCCATTTATGATTATGTAAAAGTACAATAACTGAATGATATTTGCGAGATTCGGCGATAAAAAGGAAACAAGACGGCAAAATATCGCCGAAATCGTGTTTTCGTGGGGGGTAAGTGAAATAAAATGTATTATATTTAAAGAAAACAATGACAATCCTTATGAAATCAACAATATTTATATTAAATTAAGCATAGTTTTTCACCCCATCATAATTTTTTTTAGGAAATAGGAATATTTAATTTCTGCCAGGCATATTAGTTATTTTATGCATAATTAGAAATTTACCTGGGGTGGTGCATGGTCATTTTCAGTAAAATATTATACTTAGACACATTTTTTCTTCCAATGACCACCCCTAAAAGCAACCCTTCTAAACACTATAAGCACTTCAGAAAGACTATCGCTTTTTGTTTTCTGAAGTTAGAGCTATGTCGACACTGCCATTTCAGGGGGGGGGGGGGTTCATTTTCAGGACTTTCGTCCCGGAATCAGGTTTTTGCACATATGCCATGTTGACCGCCATGGTCATTTTACCCTAAAACAGTTGAGATTACCTGTGCTAAATGAAACGCATACAAACTCATATACAGGTCCTAGACTATATTGATTTACGTTTGAACGTTACTTTGAATGTAAATTGAAGGGATATTTTTTAACCCTATCAATACAATATACGGGCTTATATGGTCTTTTGGGGAGGAGGAGGGGGGTGGGTGGTGGAAAGTGCCCGTGGCTAATATCTCAAAAACTGCATAAAGTATAACTTGCGGTACCATGGCAACATGTGGTGACGTCATTATGACCTCATCATTAGCCAAATTCTTGGATTTCTATTATATCAAAAAATTTCTTGCTAAAACCATTGTTTTGCAATGTTTAATAAATTTCAATATTGAAGCGGAATAGCAGATTTAAAATAAGTATGAAGACGAAGATTTGCAGAAAAAAATTGCGATTACCATTAATCGCAAATTTTTTTCTGCAAATCTTTGCCTTCATACTTATAGGTATGAAATTTAGCGGATTTTTATTAACTTTATTTGGAGAATAATTACATTAATTTAATTGATTATTTTGAAGTATGCTGTGCATGTTCTTCACTTTCAGTTATTTCAAATTTCTTACTAGATTACATCATCTAGTGACGTCACCACTCCGCCATCTTGAATTTCGCCATCTTGGTTGATGACGTCATAGATGGTCTAGAAATAACTAAGCTTTGCTTTGCTAATCTTTGCTAATAACCATTGCTTTGAAGAAAATAATAAAATATGTCCTGACACATCATCATAAACTTGGTGACCATGGCAACATGGCTTAA